TTAGCAGTTCAAGGCTTACTGGACAGTAACACCGAGTCTCCCTTTGATGATCATCTGCAGACAGGCAGGGCAACAAGTCAGTCTGACTTGTAGTGATCCTTAGCCTACAGAGGGACCACCAGAAACTGTTGAATGGGTAGATGGAAGCAACAAAAAGTAAGTTAGAAACAAAGTATTAGAAAGAGTAGATTTTTTTAAATGCCAGGGAGAAAAAAATGAGAACCTCTTTATTGACACAGCTAAATTAGAACATGAAACAGAACAATTACATGCCTTGAACACAATACCCACGATTATAAATATTTGCTGATATCGTAAATACTCACTATGTAATACAAAAGTACTACATGAGTCATTAAAAAAAGAAGAAAAAAGCCACACATGAGTCAGTGACATGACTAGGGTGTCATCAAGGATAGTGACTCATGGGGTCAGGCGCTCTTCCCCAAATCCCCCTTCCCTCACAGACCTCTTCCCACACCAGATTATTCAGAATTGTTAGTGATGTATATCATTATGCAATTTTAATCACTGAAAAAATATTTGGTAAGTGTAGTTGTAAATTATTAAATGCAATATTTTGTAGAATATATGAATAAACTCTTGTTGTTACAGCTTGTTGTTAGTATTCATAGATTGATTGAATACTAACTTTGCACATTGAGTTACACTAGAAGTTCTCAACCTGTGGGTTGTGACCCCTTTGGGGGTTGAGCGACCCTTTCACAGGCGTCATCTGATTCATAACAGTAGCAAAATTACAGTTATGAAATAGCAACAAAAATAATTTTATGGTTGGGGGATCACCACAACATGAGGAACTCTATTAAAGGGTTATGGCATTAGGAAGGCTGAAAACACTATTTGTATCTGAGAAGAAATCCCTTTTAAATGTTTCTCTTTTCCCTTAATTTTCAAAAAAAGTTATTGAAAAAGGTTTACAAATATTAATTTGTAACTTATTTTACAAATTACAATGTACTAATTTACAAATTACTAATGTACTAATTTACAAATTACAATGTTGTAGCTAGAACACCAGAGAATTTGACAAAATCAGTAACTAGAAGAATACCCAAACCAAAAGAGCAACACCCGCTGCCAGCAAGTCAATCCCAACTTACACGGCCCTTTGGACAGTAGAACAGCTCCATAGAAAGCAGCCAGCCTCATCTTTCTCCCCGCAGAGCAGCCGATGGGTTTAAACTACCAACCTCGAGGCCAGCAGCCTGACGCCCCAGCAGCGTTAAAAGATTCAAAAAGTAATTTAGTATAGAGTTTTAGCCTTGCAGGTATATTGATATATATAAGCTGAACTTACAAAAATGTTTTTGTTACTCTAATAATTACAGGCATATTTTAATAAAAAGTCATGCATTTCTGTAGAAACAGTGCACAAAACTTTTATAGACACCCATTTTGGCGTCACCCCCTCTGCCTAACAGTCACTTCATGCAATTGGCCACCCTCCCGCACCCAATGCCACTGATGTGAGTGCCACATTTACAAGTGATTTTCTCCTTTTCCTTTGGTATTGAAAAGAGAGAAGCCCTTGACTAAATTTCCCTCTCGCTTGTTACAGCCTGCATCAAAACCCCCAGGTTGTTGACAGCACAGTTCTCCAGTCTCCAGTTGCATTTGGTGTGAAAACCCCCAAGCTCCCAGGGCTGCAGGCTGTAACTTGTACCCAGTCCTTCCCCAGCTAGCTGAGGTAGATTTTCCCATGGAAAGACAGACATTTCTAGTCGCTTCTCTAGGAGTCTTCTGTTCTCACCTTCATGGTAGCAATCAAAAGAGAGAGATTAATGTGAGTAGAAGTTAAAAGGGAGAAGAGCCTATGGAGTTTTTCAGTGCAGCTCCGTGGGAAGCGATGTTTTCGCTACAATCTGCAGGGGTCCGAAACTTTTTAAACAGGGGGCTAGTTCACTTGCCCTCAGACCCATTGGAGGGCCGGACTATAGTTAAAAAAAAACCAAAAAACCAACTATGAACAAATTCCTATGCACACTGCACATATCTTATTTTGAAGTAAGAAAATAAACGGGGCAAAAACACCCAGCAAGCCGGATAAATGTCCTTGGAGGGCTGCATGTGGCCCGTCGGCCATAGTTTGAGGACGCCTGACTCCAGGAAAATTTAAATGGACAGTTTAAATGGAACTTTAGAGAGAAATCACTCCACTTTCCTATTAGATCTCCTTTCCTTAAATGCTTAGGTTAGGTGTTTTCTTCTTTCTTAACATTGGGCTTAAATTTAAATACAATGGTTCCCCCCAAAACAGCAGGAGCCTTCTCTTTTTCGGCTTGACTAACTTCTGTTTACTAAATTCAGGCCATTATCAGAACAAATCTTTTAGATACAAAATCCACCAGGTTCTAAACGTGAAGAAATCTAGCATGGAAATCTAGAACTCTTGGCACATTCCCAAACTGTATTTGTTATAACCCAAAGTCACTCGGTGGTAATTAGAAAATAAGTTTCAGGCCAGAGTATCCAACTCTAGCAACCAGTTCTGGGGCAGCATTAGAAATTCCAGTGTACTGTGTGTCTTTACTATTCTTTGTGAATGGAATGCTAGCAACACCAAGAACAATTGTGTGCATCTCTACTCTGTCCTATTGGGATGCTATGAGTCAGAATCAACTTGATGGCAGTGCGTTTTTAGAAGTAGGCTTTGTGTTGTCTGGTAAGCATGGGACTACTAAATGCAAGGTCAGCAGCAATTCAGGCCCAACTGCCACTCTGCAAGAGAGCATAAATATTTACAGACTCAAAAATCCTATAAAGCAGTGGTTCTCAACCTTCCTAATGCCGCAACCCTTTCATACAGTTCCTCATGTTGTGGAGGCCCCAACCATAAAATTATTTTCGTTGCTACTTCATCACTGTCATTTTGCTCCTGTTATGAATCATAATGTAAATATCTGATATGCAGGATCTATTTTCATTGTTACATATTGAACATAATGAAAGCAAAGTGATTAATCACAAAAGTAATATGCAATTATATATTGTGAAATATTTATTTCTAATGACAAATAAATGAAATTTTGTCTTGAAGCGTGGTATAGCATTGGGAACAGTCTTCACACCAGTTACTGTACTCGTAGGTGGGCGTATCTGCATGTGGGTGGACCGCCTGGATAGAGGATAGAGGAGCGGTCTGTAGGTTCCTAAGACCAATGGAAATACGTGTTTTCTGATAGTCTTAGGCGACACCTGTGAAAGCGTCGTTCGACCCCCAGGTTGAGAATCGCTGCTAAAGGTTCTGGCCCTTTGAGTCAGAATTAACTCAATGACAGTGGATTGCGTTGGATTAAGTAGTGGTTACATCCAGAGGGTTGAGTGGTAAGGCAGGCCAGGTGGGACTATGATAAAATGGAAAAACGTGTCTCTTCTGAACAGTCTGGTATTCTGTTCCCGTTTCACTATTACCAATTTGTAAGGTAGGCCCAGTATTGCATGTACAAATCTCCTGATGTGTTGGCCATTATTAGCCCAACTAGAACATATTTGCTGGTTAGACACATCCCATAGTGCCCCAGGGCTTAATCAAGAGCTATTGTAAGAGTGTCTGTCTTTCTGTCTTATTTGTTCATTAATTCACTCATGTAATCAATGATCTATTACATGCTAAGAATGTAACTGTTAGAGAAATAAAACGTTTTCAAGAACACACGATAGGAGAGACATCTAAACAGGTGTAAAAAGGCTCTAACAGAACAAAAGCAGTAATCATGACTAGCATTTATTGAACACTTTCTACGGGCCAGGCAGTTTTAGCAGAGTTGTATGAATTCCTTCTACGTGTAATAATAATCTGAGAAAGTAGGCGTTTTTCTTGTCTTTAGGTTCCCGGGTGGCACAGCGCTGAGAGGGGATTCAAACCCTCGAGTCTCTACACGGGAGAAGGATTTACCATCTCTGAAACCTTGGGAGTCCTAAGCTTTGTACTTGGGCTGCGATGAGTTACAATGGACACCATGGCTTTTTCCAATTAAAAAAAAATATATTGCTATGCGTGGAATTGACTCAAAGGCAATGGATTATTACTGTCTTTATTGTATGTCTGAAAAGACACGAACAGAGCAGCAAATAACTTGCCAGTTGTCATGTAACTGAGGTGAGATTTGAGCTGAAACCGGTTCCATAGCCCAAGGTCCATGACTAAAGAGGGGATCCGTTGTTGTAGACATAACCTGTGCTTTATGAACTCTTCCAGAGTGATTCTGACTTGTCTTGAGAGATGATTTTAGCACACAAGCATTCTCATCAGGAATTCCGGCAGAAGAAATAGTTTGTACCAGGGATCAAAGTCTAGGACTGGCAGAAGATGAATATGAATAGGTAACACCTCCTACGTCATTATTAGCTCAGAGTCAGTTTATAGCTCAACACTGTGAGGTTTAAGAATAGTGTGGAGAAGCTTGGATATATAGCCCACCCCCCAGGGAGACGAATAACAGAAATGTGTGTGAAGGGAGACAACCGACAGTGTAAAACACGAAATAACAACAACAATGCATATAATTGATCAAGGATTCGCGAGGGTGGGGGAGGGAGAGGGAAAAAGAGGAACTGATACCAAGGGCACAAGTAGAAAGAAAATGTTTTGGAAATGTCGATAGCAACTTATGTATAAATGTACTGATACAATTGATGTATGGATTGTTATAAGAGATGTAAGAGCCCCCCAATAAATGATTATTTTAAAAAGAAGAAGAAAAACGGTGTGGAAAGAGACATTTACAGAAGCTCAACCTTGACTACAAGTTCCAGAAAGCGAAGCGCGCTGTGTTTTCCCGCGTGAGCGTCTCTGTTTCAGCGAAGCTCAGGGACTACAAGTCCCGGCATGCAGCAGGACAGTTCCGCGATCGGACCCTCCCTGCCCCGCCCCCATTACTACAGGCCCCGCCTCCTGCCAGCCCCGCCTTCCTCGCCCCTCCCGCCCGCAGCCCCCTCCCGCCGCCCGGGTCAGCCCAGAAGAGTTGCCTGGTGGCAGCGGCAGACCGTAGCCGAGCCAGACCCTCGGCGGCGGCGAGGATGGGAGATTCCAAAGTGAAAGTGGCGGTCCGGATCCGGCCCATGAACCGACGAGGTGAGAGCCGAGCCCTCCCGGGACCGGCCGTGCCTGAGGCGGCAGGTGCCTGGCGCGCCCTTCCCCTCTGCCACCGTGTGGGGTCCGCCCGGCTCCGCCCCTCGAGTCCGCGCCGGGGCGGGCGGACGGCCTGGGGACCCTGAAACTTGGCCCCCCGCTTCTCCTCAGCTCCCCGCGCCCGCACGGGCCCCATCACGGGACGCCCCTCCCCTCGCCTGCCACCCGGTCC